TGACAACATGAACCTCGTATTTATTTGTAAAAATACACCTGAGTTTTTGTGACGAGACTCTTGTCTCACAAAAGTTAGCAAAACAAATGAGTAATGCTAAAATAATGTATTTCATCATCGTACAGTTCATGGTGCTTAATTGTGAACTAAACACAATTATGTGCGTGTTTTTTGTTATGACCTTTATATAGCTTATTTTTCATTTTTGCTTGTTTCCATGAAATATTAATTAGGTTTTGGGAATTAGTTAACGTTTATGATTATTTGAAATTGATTGACAGGAGCTACTATATAATTTAAAATCTAATTCTTGAGTATCAAGTAATTACATTAATATTGTCAAAATAATTCCTCAATATTTATCACAATTTAAAATTGATTGATAGGAGTAACTATATAATTAAAAATCCGATTCATTAATATCTAGTGATTAGATTATGATTGCCAAAATTCATAGGAATATTAGTTAGACTTCGAGAATTTCTCAACATTTGTGACAACTTGAAATTGATCAATAGGAGCAACTATATAATTCAAAATATGATTCTTGAGTATCAAATAATTAGATTATGATTGTCAAAATTCCCTCAAAAATTTGTTAGATTTCGAAATTCCTCAATATTTATCACAATTTAAAATTGATTGATAAGATGAACTATATAATTAAAAAGTTGATTCGTCAATAACTAGTAATTAGATTATGATTGTCGAAATTCACTGAAATATTAGTTAGACTTCGAGAATTTCTCAACATATATGACAACTTGAAATCGATCGATAGGAGTAACTATATAGTTCAAAATCTAATTCTTAAATATCAAGTAATTAGATTATGATGGTCAAATTTCCCTCAAAAATTTGTTAGATTTCGGAATTCCTCCATATTTATCATAATTTAAAATTGATTGATAGGAGTAACTATATAATTAAAAATCTAATTCGTCAATATCTAGTAATTAGATTTTGATTGCCAAAATTCACAGAAATATTAGTTAGACTTTGAGAATTTCTCAACATTTGTCGCAACTTGAAATTGATCGATAGGAGCAACTATATAATTCAAAATCTAATTCTTGAATATCAAATAATTAGATTATGATTGTCAAAATTCCCTCAAAATTTTGTTAGATTTCGGAATTCCGCAATATTTATCACAATTTAAAATTGATTGATAGGAGTAAATATATAATTAAAAAGTTGATTCCTCAATATCTAGTAATTAGATTTTGATTGCCAAAATTCACTGAAATATTAGTTAGACTTCGAGAATTTCCCAACATTTGTGACAACTTGAAATTGATAGATAGGAGTAACAATATGTTCAAAATCTAATTCTTGAATATCAAGTAATTAGATTATGATTGTCAAAATTGCCTCAAAAATTTGTTAGATTTCGGAATTCATCAATATTTATCACAGTTTAAAATTGATTAATATGAGTAACTATATACTTAAAAATATGATTCATCAATATCTAGTAATTAGATTATGATTGCCAAAATTCAATGAAGTATTAGTTAGACTTCGAGAATTTCTCAACATTTGTGTCAACTTGAAATTGATGGATAGGACTTAGGAGCAACTATCTAATTCAAAATCT